CATGGAATGGGACTGCACCAACCCTGACTGACTGACGGGGGCACCTTGGATTCTCCCTCTGCCCCTGCTCTGGGTTTGTTCTCTGCAATACTGCATTGCTATTTTAATTTTCCTAGTAAAGAACTGTTATTCCCATTCCCATATCTTTGCCTGAGAGCTCCTTAATTTCAAAATGATAATAATTTGGAGGGAGGAGGTTTACATTCTCCATTTTAAAAAGAGGCTCCTGCCTTTCTTGGCAGACACCTGTCTTTCAAACCAAGACACAAAGACAAGACACGTAGGACACAAACTCTCTCTCCTCCCAGCTGCAGCTCCCAGTGGGAGCATTTCAGGACACACTGTGCTGCTGGCACAGTGCAGCTGATTCCCTTGGATCCCATCTCTGCTCCACGTGTGGCAGCTGGCTCCTCTCACCCCCATCCCAGCACCAGCACCCCCCAGAGCCGAGGGGGACGTTTGGGCAGCACTGCCCAGCTCAGCACTGCAAAGTGCCCAAATCCCACCTGGCTGCCACACCAGCAGGATGGATGGGAAGGAGCCAGCCCTGCTGCCACGCCAGAGTGAGAACAAATTTGGATCATAAAAGCTGGAATAAGAAGATGCCTTGGAGAGCACGTTGGAATAGAGCTTTGCAAAGCTTCAATTTAAAGCCTTGTTCCCACAGCTAACGCAGTCGTAAGGGACATTAGCCTAATTTCTGTCAAGAGAACTTGTCAACACTGCAGTGTTTAAGATAGACACTAAAGATGTGTTTTATCTCACAGATAGATCACTGGGAGAGGAAGGAGCTGTGCCACACTTGGTTTGCAGGAAAATAAATGGATGTTCTCCCTGGGCCTAATTGGTGGATGCTGTTTTATAACACCACACACATGAGCAGCCTCCCATTTTATCAGTGTGCAGCTGAGATTGGTGCCAAATCCACTGTGGGGTTGGATACAGAACCCACAGGGACGTGCTTCACCCGAGGACAGAGTGGGCATTTTCCAGCCACAGAGGAGCTGAAACTGAAATTTGAGATTTGGCCATGTCCTGAAGGGTCAGGTCCTTCTACTGATGCTGCTCACCAGCTGTGGGGTGTGACCTCAGGGCCAAGGGGACAAAACTGGTGGTGGAAGAAGAGAACTGGCTTTGTTTGCTCAGGACCACCAGCAGGAACTTGCCTGGCCTGGTTTTCAGAGATGCTCCATGGTGAGTCAATAGAAAGCAAAGAAAAGAGAGGCTGGAGCCTGCAGCTTTAGGAGAGAAGTGTTAGCATGATCCTGCTCCCATCATCCCCACTCTGAGGAATTAAAACATTCCCAGGAGCTGGCACAGCTCCACACATCCCACCTGCCAGCCTTGGAGCTGGGTTTGAGACGTGCCCAAGATGATGCTGGGGCCAGGGCACAAAGGCTGGTCCCAAACTTGCAGCTTCTGCAGTGGAAAGTTGAAAATGCCCTTTTATTTGCAGTGGTTACAGGGAAATAATAGCCATGTAACCTTGTCCCAGCCCTGGAACAGAAATCAGCTTGCAGAGGAAGCCTGAGGGAAGGCAGGAGGGCAGGAGGGTGGCTCTGCTCTGCCACAGATCCTGCACTTGCAGAAGAACTAAATCACTACAACAGCCAGAAATGTCCCCGGGGAAGGAAATCCTCTCAAAGATAAATCAATAACTCAGTGTAATTTTAGCATGCAGCCAGGAGAATTTACATTGCCAGGAAGGCTGAGAGCTCTGCCACAGAGACAGAGGCACAGCATCATCAAACAGCCCTGCAGCAAGAGCTCGGGCTCTGGGTGTTCACTGCAAGGCCACGAGCCTGGGTTCTGCATTTTGGGAGCCCACAGACCCAAATCAGAGTGGCAGCAGCAAGGATGTGGTCCAGCCAAACTCCCTCGGGACAAACCCATCCTTCTTTTTTTGTCCTGTGGGGTAACAAAGCTGCTCCCTGCAGTCATGGCCAATGCTCCAGGTCCTGCAGGGTCACACTCACACAGAGCACAGCTAAAACAGGACAGAGGGGCAGCCCCCACCCCTGGCCAGGGGCTTCCCACCAGCCAAGCCACAAACCAGCACGACAGAGATGTGCCACAGCCCCTGGTGATTAATGAGACTGCAATTTACCTAATTATATTAATGCTAAGTACACTCAGACCAGTAAGTTCAAGGGAACTAATGACACTTTAGAGCACAGTTCAACACTGAGCAGTAACTCCAGCAAAAAGGAAAAGACAAAAAAAAAAAAGCCCTAATTATTCAGTAGCTCTTCTCCCAGATTCTCAGGGTCAGCTTGGAGGAGAAGGTGGCCTGAATTATATTTTCGTTTCCAGAACATCAACAGAATTGCTAAGTGAGTTTCAGCGGCAAGGTCAGAGCTTGTCCATTGTTATGCACGGCAGCCCTGTCCCTTCCCCTGTCCCTGTCCCCTCTGCCAGTGCTGCCACCACCGAGCCCTGCTGCTCCTGGGGACACGGGACCAGCTCCTGTGTTGGTGTCTGTCCTGTCCCCAGCATGGATGGACAAACTGAGCCCTGGACCAGCTCCTCTGCCAGCTCTTTGCTCTGGTCCCCAGCACGGACAGACAAACTGCAATAATCAATTCCTTAGAAGCCAAGTGCAGCCTCCACGCTGCAGGTCCAGGAGCCTGTTGAGGATAACCCAACCCAGCAGAGGTTCCTGTACACCAGCCCACTCCAGCCTGCCTGCTGGCACAGATCTGGAAGGCTGGGAAGGGCTGTGCCCACACACACAGAGCTCTTACCCTGGTACAGCCCACCCAGAGCCATGGAAACATTTTGGGGAACCTGTGCTGGCCACAGTCATGTCACTGCTCACAGGCTCCTTTGGTGCCAACGAGCTCTCACACTCATTGTGCCATCAGGGCTGATGTGCTCCAAGAGCCTCTGTCTGTAAATCCAATTTTACAGCAGCTCCAAATGCAGTCTGTGCTTCTCTTACTTCACGGAGGCTTGGATTTTTACAAGGGACAGGACACAGGGAATGGCTTCCCACTGCCAGAGGGCAGGGATGGATGGGATATTGGGCAGGAATTGTTCCCTGGGAGGGTGCCCAGAGCAGCTGTGGCTGCCCCTGGATCCAAGGCCAGGCTGGACATTTGGGTTGGAGCAGCCTGGGACAGTGGGAGGTGTCCCTGCCATGGCAGGGCTGGGAATGGGATGAACTTTAAGGTCCCTTCCAACCCAAACCATTCTGGGATCCAGTGACTCTGCACCTCTGAAACGCTGAGATCTGCCAGCAGAGCTGCCCCAAGGGACAACATCAGTGCTTGAAGCTGGAGGTGAATTACAACCACCCCACAAAAAGCAGGACAATGATTTGTGATGCTCCTCCAACACAGAACACAAAGCTGCCTGAAAAACCAGAGCAGAAGAACTCTGCAAAATTCACAAAACACAAAAGAAGAGACCCCCCCCAAGCCTCATGTAACCCCTGTGTCTGACTGAAAGCCAAACCCAAATTCAATGAACAAGTTTGGTGTCTCAGGATTGCACTCAGAGCTCTCCTGGTGCCTTCCAGGCTCAGCAGCAGCATCCAGGGAACAGGCAGAAGGCAACTCAGTGATGATTAGGAAGACACATATGAAGTTATCCATCACACAGCAACTCGTGTGCACTTAAATGTCCTGCAGTACAATCAGAAATCAATAGCAAGACGCAAAAACCCTCAACCACTCAGTAAAATATAAAGAACACTTGTAATATTGATTTTAAAAGCACCTCAGTGAAGACAGTTGAGAAGAAGCCTGAGAAAGCAAAGCAAAATGCCTGAATTGAAACCTTTTTTTTTTTTTTTTTTTTCTCCCCTCAAAAAGACATTAATAATGGATTTTCAATGCAAGAAGAAAAACTGAAACCCACACCAGATTCTCCTGGTAATAACAGCTTTCTGCAAAGCCCAGCTATTAATGTAACAGGGACGTCCATCAATCAAGCACACAGAAAGTACTTTGAGAGCTAAAAAAAGAGCATGCAAACATCTGCTTTTGGCAACTTAAATTTTGCCCTTAAGCACAAGGAACATAATAAATTATCAGGAGGTTGGGCTTGAACTTGTTTTCCTCCATCCTGGACCTAAATGCTGAGGATAAGGATGAAGCTACACAAACATTCTGCTGCTGGGATTTGTCCTGATAAAAAAATGGGAGAAAGGAGCAGAATTTCGTTTGTGTTTTCATTTGGAAATGCTGCATCAAGGGGACACCAAGCAGGGGTGTAGCCTCTCCCTGTCTGCAGTTCAGGGAGCTCCTGTGAACATTTTTCCACCTCCAGCATCCTCAGCACATCCAAGGCTGCTGGAGTGGTCCCACAGTGGAGTGACAAATGTTCTCCAAGGTGTCCTGGAATCTTCCTTCCCTGTGGAACTCTGGTGATTTGGGCAGGTCCTCAGTCCCCCAAATCACACTTGGGGTCCATCCCCACAGCCCAGCACTGCCTGGGGTGTCCCAGCAAACCCCAGAAAATTTGCTGGATTTGCTTTTTGTGTCCCCACACCTCCAGTGTCTCCTCCCTTGTAAAACACAGCAGGTCAGAGCAAGTGCTGGAGATAATGAACACAATTTACTGATTCCAGCACAGGAGGCTGCAGGCATGGCTGCAAAACTAAGTCCTAATAAATTCTGAGGAGTGACACCATGAAATGGCATTATGGAAGGCTGTGTTTATTGTCTCCCCATGCTTCTGTCTCCAAGGTGCCAGGTTACACTTAATAACAGTTTTCTCCCCAGCTGCCAGTGCTGCAAACCCTGACAAGTTAATGGTGGGGCCAGCCCTCCCCAAACATCTGCAGCCAGCACACAGCTTTGGTGGCAGAGCAGGCCGTTATAAATTAATAATATTAATAAACATTAATAAACGATTAAACCAGTGCTGCCCTCTCCTTGCTGGCTCTGCAGGGCAGGAGTTTTGTCCCTGGAAGTGATGAAGAGGAGGAGCAGCTGCTGGGGGGTGGTTCCTGTGTGCTCAGGGACCTGCTGGGACAGGAACATCCCTGCCCTGCCAGCAGAGCAGCCACCAGAAATTACTGCCTGCTGTCACAGCAAGCTGTGGGCAAGGCATCAGCACATCCCTGTGGAGAGCCATGGGGACACAGAGATCTTTATGGAGAACAAAAGATCCTAATGGAGAATCAGAGAACCTCATGGAGGACCATGGAAAACCAGAGATCCTCAAGGAAAATCAGAGATGTTCATGGAGAATCAAATGTCCTTATGGAAAGCCAAAGGTCCTTATGGAGAACCAGAGATGCTCATGGAAAATCAGAGAACCTCATGGAGAGCCATGGAGAATCAGAGATCCTCAGGGAGGACCATGGAAAACCAGAGATGCTCAAGGAAAACCAGAAATGCTCATGGAGGACCAGAGGTCTTCAGGGAGAAGCAAAGAGAATCAGAGATCCCATGGAGGACCAGAGATGCTCATGAAGAACCACAGGTCCTCAGGGAGAACCAGAGATCTCAGGGAGGACCATGGAGACCCAGGGGACCCCTGGTTCCTCGTGCCAGAGCAGCTGGGAATGCTGAATGGGGAGGTTTCCTGCTGCACTGCAGAAGGCACAAAAGAAATCATGGGAACCATCCTTAGTCCTCTCCAGAATAAAAAAGGCAACAAAAGCCACCATGAGGTCCTAAAAAAGGCACTGCCAGACACTCCCTGATGGCTGGAAACACCTCTGGGATCCCCCCTGCTCAGCCTCCAGCCCTGTGTTCAGGAGGCTCTGGGATGTGCCAGAGCTCTCACCCTCACTAACCAGATTTTTCCATGTTTAAACAGAGTTTCCTGTATGTTTTTGCCGTGGAGGTGTCTTGGAATAGCAGCACAGCCAAAGGGGACAGCAGCCACTCCTCCAGCTTCCCCTCAGCCAGGCTATAAATATAATATAAATATAATATAAATACCTTCACTCCACCTGTAACACCCATCACCGTGTGCCACCTCCTTACAGCTCCAGCTAATCCAGATACAGGCAGGGATAACAATTTCTGGGAATTATCTGGTGAGGAACAGGGAGATAACTGTAATTAGCAGCACCCTGGTTAGCAGGTGAAATGATAGTGTAATTAATGAAGATCAGGTGGGCTTTGTTTCAGATAAGAAAAGCAGCAGATTCTATCAAAATGTAAATGCAGCTTAAAATCCAGCCCGGGTGATCACTCAGAGGTGCTTTTAGAAACGGCTCCAGATGCAGAGGTTTCACTTGGGCTGAGTGATACGTCCTAAAAATAACACCTGGTCTGGGGCTAACATGTAAATTGTTGATTAGATCTATTTATTCACACCCTGCAGTGATGGGAGAGGCTGACAGCTCTGTGTTCCTCACAGGATCACAGGCACATTCCTGTTCTTGCCTCTTGCAAGGACTCTGCAACCCTGGGAGCTCTCCAGCAGCAATTTCAAGTGACAGGCTGCATACATTAATTCTGGATTCAGATAACATCCTGTTGCAAGTGAATGACCCAAGCAAAACTTCCTGCAGTATTTAGGAGCAGGCAGAAAAATGAGGAGAGAGAGAGGAAAAGGAATCTCTGGACTGAAGAAAGATCTTTTGAATCAGAAATGTTGTCCCTCATTAGAATTTCCAACAGCACCACCCTTACTCCTTCCAAAATGTAAACACATAATAAAAAATTAAACGTGGTTCTAGCGTGGAAGAGTTCTTCCAATAAATGGGAATTAGTTCTACAAAACATCAGGACAGACCCAAGGAGATTACATTTCTTTCCCCCAGCTTTTACTGGTGAAGCAGGGCTGGAAAAACAGAGCCATATTTATTTTTTAACTCAGAAGCTTCCCGAGGATGCAGCTCCAGGAAAGCAGAGCCATTTGTCTCAGTGTGCGTTCAAGGAAGAACAAATGCAAAACCAGCTTCAAGACCCCAAGGAACATCAAATAGCTTTTTAATTTATGTCCCAAAATCCCTGCAGATTCTGAAATGAACAGAGGGCAGGGTTCAGAGAAAATGCCTCGCTCACTCAAGACAGCTGGATGGATATTCTGAGTTTTCCTCAGAGAAGCAAAGGTGCTTTTACACCAGAATGGAGCAGGCACAGCACGTGGCTCTGGAAGGATCTGTGGAAAAAGCAGAACTTGTTGCTTGTGTGACCCTATAAATAAATGTATGGAAAATTGAATAACCTAGGAAAGGGGAAAAAAAAAAAAATCTGGAGCCCCATCTGAGCAAGAGCACAATTTACAGGCAAGAGCTGTGAAGGAGCAAGTGAAATATTCCTCACAGGAGCCATCAGACTGTGCTGAGTGCCTGGAAAGCCTCTGACCTTGTCCTTGGCCACCCAAAATCAGTCCTGGGGAAGTTTCAGGAAGTCAGGCCTTGGCCTATGGGGGAAACTGCAGGGAGGAAGGGCCTGAGCCAAACCGTACAAATTCCTTAATTATGGAAAAAGATAATGCTGTAAAACTGTGGTTTAGGGATGTACATAATGCAGGAAATGCCAGCAAATACAGGAGAGTGGGCTGGGAACACAATGTCTGCAAGATATCTATAGGCCAGGCTTTAATTTATGAAATTACAGAATAAAATTGACAAATTTTGGGGGGGAAAAAAAAAAAATTTCTGCAGGAATGCCTGAGCCCCAGAGCTTGTGGTCAGCCACATCCTGCAGCAAACACTGCAATGCCTGCAGTGCTTGTCCCACACAAGATCACACATTTGAAGGCTGAGGGAGTTGCTGTGATTATGTTTGATCAAACCTCCAGAACTGTTTCAGGGACCCTGGGACCCAAAGTCCCACGTTTTGAAACCACGTTCCCATAATATCCAAGGAAAATGTTGGAGCCTGGTGTGCCTTGCTGGCTTTGGAAGGAGGAGGGATGACAGCCAAACTGGAAATTCAAGATAACCCAGGCTGGAGGCACTGCCAAAACATTTTAGAGGAGGGAAAACATTTTTCTTCCAAAGCACTGTTACAAGCTTGAAATAAATGTGCAGACTGTTAGATAAAGACAGAGATAAAAATAGGCCTGTTATTAAATACCTCTTCTTTAATGAGGTTCATCCTTCTAAACAGCCACGAGAAGGTTATTGGAGTTATTGCAGAAAATACAGCCTGCTTGCACATAAAAAGCAGAGCAAGGTATTCCTCATCACCCAGCACTCATTTAAGCACCTCTCACACACTCACAGCTTGGCAGGGAGGAGATAAAGGAAAGGAATGAGAGATGTCTTCTCTGGGAAACAGTCTCTCTTCTTTCAAAGCACTTCTCCCCCACCAAACAATGTAAATTTAAGCACAGAAATGATTCCCACTGCTGATGTCTACTGCTATTACACCACCAGCAGCCTGAGCAGCGTTAAAGAGAAGTTTGAAATTATTCTGAAAGCTGCAGCTGAACCTCCTCCTGTTGCACTAAAGCCACTGCCTGGCTCTCAGCTCCTCATGGCTTGGTTTGTGACCACTCCAGGTCCCCTGGGATACCCTGCAGGGCTCAGAATTCCACAAACCACCAGCAGGGCTTGGCTCCTGAAAGCACAGCACTGCTCCCTTGTTTTGGCAGTGTCCCAGAGCCCAGCCCGTGGCCGTGTGCCACAGAAGCTGCAGGATTTATTCTGGCTGCTCAGAAGCACAGATAGTTTTTGGCAGAAGGAGCATCACTGCAAAAGCCTTTTGGAACCAGTTTGTTTAATGAAACCAGTAAGAGCAGACCAGTAAGGGACAGGAGTGGCCAAAAACCCACCCCAAGCCACTTTGCTCCTAAACCCACATGCAGGGCTTCTTCTCAGCACACCAGAGCTGCCAGGACACTGCCACTTCTGGAAACGACAGGAGAGAAATTTTACCTGCATTTGGGGGGCAAAAACTGGCTCCCAACTGTGGACACACACATTTAGAGAGCTGGGGAATCCCAGCTTGGGAATT